CCCCCCTCAATTTTTCTCTCTCTGTGATTTTCCCTCCAAGAATCGACAAAGAATCAAAACCCAAAAACCCTAGATTTCTTCCCCCTTTCTCTCTCTCGAAGCTTCATCGTACCGGAAAATGGCGGCGGCATCGAATTCCGGCGAAGATCCGAGCCTCACCTATCACCGCTCTCCGTTCCGCTTCCAGCTTCTCCAATCTCTCTATTGTGATCCGCTTTTGTCTCCTCCTCCTCCTACGACGACGAATTGCCTCTTCCCGATCTCTTCTCCGCCTTCTTCCATCGCCCAGCCGCCGAATCCGTCGTCCGATCACTGCCCTTCTCATAGTTACGACAAAACTGTGAGTTCTGCTTCCACTGGTTGATTACTGTTCCCTCTTAGTTTTTGTCTTTTCCTTAGTTTTGGAGCTAGGTTTTTTTGTTCCATGGTTTCCTTGGGTTTTATCCCCGAATTCAGTGGATATCGAATCGGACTTGGCGATTCAGTTCATCAATTACTTGGATTTGGGTTTTTGTTGGGAAGGCTACAAATTTGGTTTTCCCAACTTGCAGCTGTGGGGATAGATTCTGGGAACGAGCGTGAATCTCACTCTTAAAATTTTTTCGTTTTGGAGGAATCGCATTCTCATGATTAATTTAAATCTCAAGGTACCGAGGCTGTTTCGAGTTTATGAAGCTGCGTACCTGCAAGTGTTTCTGGGAGAATTTCCATGTTTAAGCGTGGTTGGCTGATTGTACCAGGGACATAGAATGTGTTTTCACGCCTTTACATACTTTGAGATAATTTGAGGATTAATGTAAAGAGAGAATGGTTTGGCTTTATCATGAGACTTGGTTTCAGTTTCAGTTAGACTTGTTTGTGTATTTATCTTTTAGAAAGAGCTACAAATGAAATGATATAGTGAAGCTCTTGACGCAGTTTTGCAACGGTATATCATCTGGAGAGAGTAGAAAGGTCGCTATGGTGCCAGTGAAACTAGAATACCCTGATGGTAAGAAGCTAGAATCTCCATGTGAAGGTTTTGGTAAACAGGCCAAGAAGGCAAAGAGTTTGAAACAGTCCAAGGCTGGATATAGAAAAGCAAATGCCGGTAATCCTCTTGCACTCTTGTCTCAACTTAAATTGTTGTATGTAATTGTTGAAATACCCTCTGCTTCATTCTGCACCGACCTGGTCGAATTTTTCTGCAGAATGTCCAAGTGGCCTGAATGCAGCTAATCATTGTCGATATGATAGTTCCCTAGGTAATTCCAAACCCCTTATTTCTTTGAATGGTATATTTATTTTTATTGTTACTCTTTTTGGTATAGTGTTTGGGGGCCATTGTTACAAATATTGCACATGTTCTCTTTTGTTTCACAGGTTTGTTGACACAGAAGTTCATCAGTTTGATCCAAGAAACTAAGGATGGGACACTTGACCTGAATTACTGTGCAAAAGTTTTGGAGGTATGGTATGGGAACTGTGTAATGAGCTGGGAATGTATGTTCTTATAAGTTCTGTGTCTGAGTGTACGAATTTGTGGATCTTCAGCTTATATAATTCTAAGATGATCCAGTCTTTGCTTTTTGAATCACTTTGGATGTGCCTCTTATTGCATTACAGGTACAGAAGAGAAGGATATATGACATTACAAATGTCCTCGAAGGAATTGGATTAATAGAGAAAACTACCAAGAACCATATCCGCTGGAAGTAATAAAACGACCCCTTACTCACATTGATAGGTCAACTTGTTCAATTTGAGTTCTTCTGACTTCTTGACCGTTGATGCAGAGGTCCTGACAGTTTTGCCAACCTGGAAAGTCAAATGTCTAAGCTGGAGGTTCATACGCCTCTTTTTCATGGAATTCAATATACTGAAAGGACCATCACATGAAAATAATCATTATAACCAGTTTGATGTTAATGTTTGGGAGTTTTATAATCTGTTTGCCCTTTTCCCCTCGACCCCGTACATTTATTATAAACTATATGCTGTGGGATTATACTTCATTGGAGCCTTCTTCTAAACAACTATTTCCGTCTCTACATATTGCAGTCAGAAGTGGCAAGTTTGCATTCTGAGGAAAAACAGCTGGATGACCGTATAAGGTCGGTTGCTGATCTGTTCCCCGAGATACTTATCCTTTTTTTTTTCCTAATATGGGCAGCAATATGTTCTCCAGGGAAAGAAAAGAAGCTCTCCGGGCTTTTGGGGAGGATGAAAATTGCCGAAGGTATTTGTCCTTCGTTTCATTTCGATCTTGTTTCCTTTATACATGTCCATATCTAACTGAGAACTCTGCTAAACCATGACGCCTTTGATCTCATTATCAGGAACCTCTTTGTGACAGAGGAAGATATCATGAGCCTCCCGTGCTTCCAGGTCCTCATATAAGCTTCTTAGAGATCATTGGAATTGTGTACCCTTTACTCACATATGTTTGTTAGAGATGGTTTATGTTTGATTACAGATGTATGTATGGCTGGTGGTACTTTTTATCATATTTCTTGGTATTCTTCTATGCAGAACCAGATGCTTCTGGCAGTTAAAGCTCCAGTAGCTAGTTCCATTGAGGTTCCAGATCCTGACGAGGTGACTTTCCCTGCGTGGTTTAGTTTCATATATTGTTATCGACAATCATATGAGCTAATGTTTGGATCATCTTGATGGCCAGGATATCAGTTTTCCCCAACCACAATACAGGATGGTGGTTAGGAGTACAATGGGACCTATCGACGTGTATCTCATAAGGTACTTCTTGGATCATCTAACGTGTTTTCCGTTTTTCTTTCCTTATAGTAAAATGTGGCTACTCGCTTGTTTTCTCGTTAGATCAAGTGTTACTACATAAATTGGCAGAACTGATAAGTTTCCTCCATTACAGCGGACACAAACGAGAAGAGGGAGATACAACTGATAAATTGTCTGAACAGTCAGACCAGTTGTCTCACAACCATGCCTCTCTGGCCTTGTCTCCAGGCCGTGGTGAGAATCAATGCAATAATTCTCAGTCGTCCACTCCCAGCGCATCTGGTATCCAGAAAATAGTGACGGCAGATACTGATGTAAGCGCACAACAAGTATTATATGCGCAAGTATTCCGTTCCCAATACATGCACCTGATGTGTACTGTTGGAAGACAAAAAGAATCTTTGATGGATGATGATGCAGCCACTTCTTAAACTTGTTCACTCATTCCTGCAATGCATGCATCTTTGATTGCAGATTAATGCCGACTACTGGTTCCAGTCAGATTCCGAGGTCAGCCTGACCGATTTATGGACATGAAACCTTAACGAGGTCTGCGTACATATAAACTCGCAACAGTCTCTTGTTGAACGTCAAAGCCGCTAGTTGCAGGAATCAAACCTCGTCGCGTCCGACTGGTAGTAGAATATTCCGTGTTGAAATATGCGGGAGGCGAAGATTCAGTGCTTGACGTGTTCTCTGTTGAGGCTGATGTGCCTTTAGCTTCTTACCCTTTTTTTGGTCAGTGAAAGAAAGCCCATTGCCACCATTAGCAAACAAGGTATTGGGTTTTGTTTTTTTTTCGTTTGTAAAATATTTTTACAACTGCTCAATTCATCCTACCCTGAAACGATTATATGGTTTTATTCAGTTTAAACTCTGAATCATGAGGTGAAAAACGATTATTATTTCTATTTCATTTTCAAACTATTCAATTGAGAAACACAATGGCCGTGGACCGATCATAATACCACAATCTCTTCTAAATGGTCTTATTCTTGAATGTTTGGACATAGAATACTTGGAAAAGTGTATTGGGTTGATCCAACTGCAATTATTAACATGATTTCAAACTTGTAAACTCAAGCTCAATGGTGATGAAGAAAGCAACATCTAAACTTGTTCAAGTTTCTTCCACCTTATTATCTTGAAAACTACAAAGTCTATTTAAGAAAAAGAAAGAAAAGTAAGTTGATTCAATTTATTTAGATTATAGATCATATGAATTGTACTTACTAGTGTGATCATTTGGCCCAAAAACAAAAACTCATACTTGTGGATATGTCGTGTGTTTGGTTTGTCTTTTGTGAATTTTGAAGTCTGTTGAGTTCGAACAAAGCCAGCCAAAGGAAACGAGTGTGTTGAATGACATAATCCTTTCCTTTGACCATTTTCCCTTTAGTCAAACGTTTGTTCGTTCTGCGGTTTAGAGTTTTATTATGGCTCAAGATTAACTATGGTGGTGTGGGTTTTAATCGGCTCTTGGTCGGACCCATTGCGACTCAAATCGATAGATTCCTCACATGGACCGAGTGCATGGTACTTAACATGGTAAACGAGCTATTCGATCTAGTGGGAGTTTCGAGACTAGATGGTCTACTCGGACCAAGTAACAAATATTGAAAAAATATAATTGATATACTTACACCGGTTGGGATTTGAGCTTTTCATTAGTAAAACACTTGTTAAAAATTTCGATCGTCCGTGGTATGGATCTTGCCAAAATTGAACATATCGGACTATCTTAGTGGGGCAACATGAGGAAATCGTGATTCTCATAACTTGAACGTGAATGTGTTAAATCTAGACATGGTTAAAAAAATCCCTCTACGAAATTTTCAAATTTATACCGCCCATTAGTGGAGTACTTGTCAATGCATCGATTGTCTGAGTTACGGGTCCTACCAAAGGTGAACATACCTAATGATATAGTGTAAGTTTACAAATTCTTTAAACTCATCTAAATCATGATCTTCAATATGCATCACTTTAACATACAAGATCATGAATGCGAAAATAAAATTCTGAATCGGAAAAACATACCTCCAGCCATTGAAATTCTTGAGTTGAAATCTGAATTCTTCTAAGCTATAGCAATCACAAACGATGGTGTATTTGTTCTGTCTGTTGCTTAGCCTAGGGACCCAGATTTATGCCCTTTTAATAGTTTTTTCCCCATCAGAAAAAACTGATATTTGGCAGTTAATCATACAGTTAACATTGAGTAAGTATTGGACCACTAATCATTAACGTAGGAGTTTTCTAATATGGGCAGTTATTGAAAACTTCCAACATTCTCCCACTTGGTCCATATGCTACTCTTAATATGTTAACCTTTGATCATCTTTATAAGAAACACAATACATGAATCATGGCGATAAGTTCTCTAAGTACGAGTATTATCTTCCATGTATTACAGTATATCATGTGTCTTTAAACTTTATATGATAACATTACTTAATGAATAAGCCTTATGCTTATTCTAGGTCCAAGTAAGTGAGTCTTTTAATATCAAATATAGTGTACACTAAAGAAAAAGATACTCACAACTGAATAAGAGTTTCGTGAATACATAAATGTACGTACAAATGAAATAATCACATCATGGAACCAAGTCCCATACTCACAACATGATCCCTGAAATTCTTAATTGGCATGCCCTTAGTCAGAGGATCGGCAATCATCAATTCAGTGCTAATGTGTTCAATGACCACTTTCTTTTCCGCAACACGTTCTCTTATGGCTAAGTACTTGATGTGTTTACTCCGACTTCCACTCTTATTGTTCTTAGCCATGAAGACAACAGCTGAATTATCACAATATAATCTCAATGGCCTAGCAATAGAATCCACAATTCTAAGTCCGGATATGAAACTCTTCAACCATACACCATGTGACGTTGCCTCGAAACATGAAACGAACTCAGCTTCCATAGTGGAAGTAGCGGTCAATGTCTGCTTGCCACTCCTCCAAGATACAGCTCCACCGGCAAGCATAAATACATATCCAGATGTTGACTTACGTGAGTCAACACAGCCAGCAAAGTCTGAATCTGAGTAACCGGTGACCTCTAAATCGTCCGTTCGTCTATACATAAGCATGTGATCCTTCGTACCTTGTAGGTACCTCATCACCTTCTTTGCAGCTTTCCAGTGGTCCAAACCTGGATTACTTTGATATCTCCCTAACATTCCCACGACAAATGCAATGTCAGGTCTTGTGCAAACCTGAGCATACATAAGGCTTCCGACTGCAGAAGCATATGGAATGTTCTTTATTTGTTCCCGTTCGAGCTCATTTTTCGGGCATTGATTCAAATTGAACCTATCACCCTTCACAATAGGTGCTGGACTCGGTGAACAATCTTTCATCCGAAACCTCTCCAAGACTTTATTGATATAGGTCTCCTGAGACAAACCTAGAATACATCTAGATCTATCTCTATGGATCTTAATGCCGATGACATAAGATGCCTCACCCATATCCTTCATGTCAAAATTCTTAGAGAGAAATTGTTTCACCTCATACAACAACCCTTTGTCATTGGTTGCAAGTAAAATGTCATCCACATATAGAATAAGGAAACAAATCTTACTCCCACTGACCTTCTGGTATATGCAGTTATCCATGGTATTTTCTTCAAAGCCAAATGAAGAAATGACACCATGAAACTTTAAATACCATTGACGGGAAGCTTGTTTCAATCCATATATGGATCTCTTAAGTTTGCAAACCAAATGCTCACCACTACTAGAGGAGAATCCTTCAGGTTGTTTCATGTAAACCTCTTCCTCCAGTTCACCATTGAGGAACGCCGTTTTCACATCCATTTGATGTAAATCCATATCAAAATGGGCAACTAATGCCATGATCACACGAAAAGAATCTTTCTTTGATACAGGAGAAAAAGTCTCCTTGTAATCGCTTCCTTCTTTCTGAGTGAATCCTTTGGCTACGAGTCTTGCTTTATATCTTTCGATGTTGCCCAATGAGTCTTTCTTGGTTTTGAAGACCCATTTACAACCAATGGCTTTTACACCATTAGGCAACTCGACAAGATCCCAGACTTCATTCGATGCCATCGAATCCATCTCATCTTTCATGGCACTATACCATAAGTCAGATTCCCTACAACTCATGGCTTGTGAAAACGTTTCAGGATCATTTTTGGCTCCAACATTATACTCACACTCTTGTAGATACACCATATAGTCATCCGGAATTGCTGATTTCCGTACTCTACTAGATCGTCTCAATGTTGTATCAACATTTTCCTGAGGATCATGTTGTACAACCGGTTCAACAATTTCAGGCATTTGTTGAACATGATCTACCGGATCATCAGCTTGTGGAGGTTCGGGAACTGGTTGTTCAACAACACGCACTGGAGCTGGATAAGTGCGACGAACGACAACAGTTCGAAGGTGACTTGAAGTAGAAGGTTGTGAAATAGAGTGATCACTCTCAGATCTTTCTCCTAATGATCTGTCACTCCCACTAATCAAGTCATTCTCAAGAAATTTTGCATTTCTTGACTCCACAATCCGTGTACTGTGAGATGGACAATAAAATCTGTATCCCTTAGACTTTTCGGCATATCCAATGAAATACCCACTAATGGTCCTTGGGTCTAACTTTTTCTCTTGTGAGTTATAAACTCTTACTTAAGACGGACATCCCCAAACGCGTACATGTCGCAAACTCGGTTTCCAACCTTTAAACAACTCGAAAGGTGTCTTTGAGACAGCCTTGGATGGAACTCAGTTTAATATGTACACCGTCGTTTTAAGAGCTTCATTCCACAAGGACTTAGGAAGTTTAGAGTATGATAACATACTCCACACCATGTCCAATAATGTTCGGTTTCTTCTTTCTGCTACACCATTTAGGCTCGGAGAACCAGGTGTGGTATATTGGGCAACAATCCCATGTTCAGCAAGAAACTTCGCAAAAGGATCGGGTGCTTGTCCATTTTCAGTGTATCTACCGTAATATTCACCACCCCT